ACATTTTCATTTAGAGATTTTGGAAATTAGCAAAGATCTACATCAGCTTCAATGCTTAAAGAAAACGTGTTAGATTGTTAGATTTTATTTGTAATTTTGTAACTAAATGGGTGATCAAAGCTTGTGTACAGATGACGTTTTGTTTTTCTAAATCAAAAGGTGCTATCAAGCTTTGAACCTAATACTATTAACTGAAATTTCACATTGGCCTTAACAAGTTTGAAAAACTCTATTGTACTTAAAATCTGGAAAGCAAGAATTGCTGCCATCAGAAGGGAAGAAATTGATTTTTCAGTTTTTACAAGACACTAACCTTAAAAGTTCTGTGCTGAAATTATCCGACAGGTTGCAAACATGGTGAATTGTTATGGCATCGAAATATAAAAGTCAGAACTTGTAAAACTAATTTTAACCACTTCAATCATCAACACCTGAGTAACAGTTAAGATCATCATCTCTGGATAGAGCTTAAGCAATGTTAACTATTTTTTCACAGATAGCTTCTCACTTAGTTAACTTTATTTACTCCTGAGCTGGGTTTTTGGAGTATTGAATTTATTTCAACACTATCCCTTTCACAAGAAACAAAAGGTAACATCTATAAAAATCTGACAAGCATGTACACAAGCCACATGTACACAGTTTAAGAAAACCACACGTGGTTTGAAGAAACAAAAGGAAAACTTACTACATGTATGTTTAATCAATCAACCAACCAATACAACTTAACAGATACTGTAATTAAAAAAATAATACCCACAACAAATAAGAGACTCTGCAGACAGACAACTTGGAAATCGTTGCTGTGTACAAGCGTGTCAAACACAGAGGAGCATAGAGAGGAACAGACAAAGCAGATGCACTTCCAAATGAGCTTCTCACCATAGCTTCAACCTGTGTGAAAAGCTAGCATGACATAAAAGAGGCTCTACCAGTTCAACCCACAGATCGATAAAACTCAGGGTTCTCTTGAGAAAGGTACAGAGAAAACTCCCACAGGGCTGTTTTTCCAGTGCCCCTTTCACAGACCTCAGCAGAGCCATGAAGGCTGAAATAAGACTCTAGGGAGAATTATGTTAGCATTGCAGAAATTCCAGATGCTGCTGCCTATACAGCAGTTTAAAAAGACCTGCATAACTCTGACTACCCATTACTGTGAAACATAGGGATTCAATCCAACAGGAGGCTTAACAATTCATGAAGTAAAAAAAAAAGTCCGTAAGTTAACTTCTAACAGAGGAGCCTTCAGGGACTGCACCACATACTAAAAAATGTTACCACAACACTATCCAAATCAAAAGTGATTTCCTTCTCTGGCACCATTTATCTTCTAGAAAGTTTAAGATTTTTGCAGAAGGCATTTAACGATCAAGCTTTCAAGACAGCTTTATGCTTAAACCAAAGCAAATCTATTTTAAGAATTTAGAATCAGCTTTACAATCGCTGTTACAAATTTAATGGAAAAATAACATCTTCAGAGATAGCAAGGCAAAACTCGAGCTAAACATTGTTGTGATGGAAAAAGGACAAGCAAATGCATACCCAATTGAAACAAAATGATGGATTTCTGATGCAAGTGCTAACAGAGCATCTTGTTATGCTCAAATTTTCAGATTCACAGCTCTATAAGGACACTGTTTCAAAGGGATTAATGAGAACAAAAGTCAACTGAGCTGTGTCTGTGATATTTTCAGTGCCTTAATCTTTCTAAAATGTAGCAGGAAGTGCTATTGCAGCCAGAAAAACCTCTTTATTCTTGAAAAAATACCCCACGTTTAGCAATGGTTCACAAGCAAACTATTCTTTTTTCTCCTATCTACAATGGGTAGTAGACTAGGAGTCCAAACTCCTTATAACCCATTAGTCTAACAAGCAAATGAAAAGGTCTAAACTCTACCCCAAATCCAAGTAGTCCATTAAACCTGTCCAGGTAGGACACAGCAGCTTCGCAGGTCTGGCCACTTTAGTTTCTTAGCCCCCTTAGACTGTGCCAAGCATGTACAGCAAGCCTGTTGCAAAATGCAAACTGGTTATCTCCAAACCCATACAGAGATGTCATAATGATGACAGGCCCACATCCTGAAAGTTACAGGATTGACAGAAATTTGTGGAATAAGTACATGACATAAATTAAATTTAAAATTACTGTGCTTCTAAATGTAACTAAAATTCCATTTTTAACTTTAGCTTCAAAATTCATTAAACTAAATTTAGTTTAGTTTAAAAAATCGAATTTAGTTAAAACTCCAGTTTTAACTTAAAAACTCAGTTTTTAACTTCAGTTTCGCTAAAAACTCCATTTAAATTTACTGTTAACCACTGTAAAATTAACTCCAAGCCAGGTACCAAAATTTTCCTGCGAGATGGAAACTACAACAGGTTTTGTAGTGTATTGTTAGTACATGCAAATAAGGGACATGAGGATTTGGACAAGCTTTGTTCTCCTGTCACTTTACAACTTATTTCAGATGGACTGGGTTCGCTCTCCCACAGAATATCACAGAGTGAATGGGAACATCTGGAACAGTTCAATGCTTTTAAAAATTATTATTTAATAAAGTATGCAAAAAGGATTTCTTCCCCTCTCTTTTGTCTGCAGATACACTATAGCATGATTTATGATACTGTAATTTGGCCCATCTTCAAAGATTTATTTTTGATAGAGGAAAGATCTCTGAAGATGTTCCAGACACTTGTAATCAGATGTTTAGCCACCTCATTTTTATTCATTTTGCATGTTGGACTTCTTTTGAGGGAGAGAGGGAGGGAAGATGGCTTTGTTTAATGCTCAATTCTTTACTGAGCTAATAAACTATATAAACTCCACACAAAACGTAAGGCTGCATGAACCGTGTATCTGTGTTGTCCCCACCACATTAGGTGACCTAAGGATGTTTTAAGACAGTATTTTCAAACACAGTAACTCACGCATGAAGAAGAATTAGAATTAGCTGAAAGCAACAATGCAATTTCAACCTTATGGAAAATACAGTCCCTCTGTTCCTCATGCTGGCCGAATATAGATAGACATGCATCTCTTCGTCACTGCAATGGAAACAGGCTGCCCCCAAATGTCGAATGCATATGTTCATGTGCTTTGCCTTAGTTTGATCGTGTAATTCTCCAGCTGCTTCTAACATTTTTCTAAAGATGCAAATTGTAAAATTTTAAGAAAAGGTACAGTAATGATAGGTTTTATGAAAATGGGTACAAACCTTTCTGTTCTCTACGATTATTAACAGATTCTCACTTTTAGGGTTTTCTAGGTAGAAGCAAAATATTGTTTTAGCTTTCCTTCTCTACCCAATAAGCATAAGCTTTGTGATAAAAGATGGCTGGTTCGAGGAAATAAGTCTTACAAATTATCTTTAACAGTAGACTGAGGTCATGTGTTATTAGGCATGAAGGAATATACATAGAGTGAAGTAAAGGGGGAACATAAGGCCGCAGAGAAAAGCTTACATATGCATCAAAATTTCCTCAAGTTACAAACTTTCCTGTTATTTAAAATTAAGAACTACTGCAGCACAGTGTTACTAGTAAATGACAGCTTCATTTACTACCAGACACTCATCTCTGTGTAACTCAGCTCATGTAAAAGCAAAAAATTGGAAAATCTTAACATACAGGGCACTGATTCACCTCTGATAAGCGACGCACATAGCACTGAAGGAGAAAAGAGGTCATCAGCCACTGTTCTACATGATTCATAAAGACACATCCCAGCAAAAAGAAATTCAAGGATCACTGCCTGCTTCTTTCTGTTCTCAAAAACACTGAACACTTAACCCAAGACATCATTTCGGACAGAACCCAGAACTCTGCTACATGGGCAGTCAGTAGTTTGTGCCATGTTAACCTATGTTAAGGGTACGTGTATATGAAAACCTCTAGGAAGAAGTGTGACGGGAGAGATAGCTACCTATCTGTCAATCTGCAGAAACATACAAGCAGAGAGAGGTAAGAATGCACCGTAATTTACATCTCAGCTGACATACACACATTTCATTCTTAAACTCATTCTTCCAGCTCTGCAGGGCACTGGAAACATGCACATGCCTTCTTAAGGCATACAGTTTCTGCACGTTCATGCAGGAAACCAGATAACCCCACCATCCTCTCGTAATTCAACCCTCAAGTTAGGCACACACACAATGCATCACGACAATCTCATTCATCTCCAGCACTGTTTGCTTCTGCTCACTCAGAATACCTCATTCGTCCATTCACCCTCACTCAGAACCATTCAGCCCTGATCTGCCAACTCCCTCCACCATAAGCCAATTCATTCTCTTGACATACTTGTTAGGACAAGCACTGTTTAAGTCACAGGGTATAATGCTCCCCTTAAAACCTGACTGTGTAAGACCAACCATTACTCATCAGTGAACAACTGCTGTTTTGGTTATCCTTTATTCATGGCTATTTCCTCATCCCCATGGCAGCCAACATTTGTTTGTGTTATCAATTACACCTCCTGTGCTGCAGTGTTTCAACAGTAATTAATTGCTTTGGAGAATCTACTGCATAGAAATTTAATGCCAGCAGCATTACACTAAATTTGAAGATAAAATTGTTGGAGATTCTTCTCCTATTTTAAGTGGAAATCATAAAAAATCATCATAATAAAAACCATATAATCATAAATCATAAACCATTTCACTACAGATGCCTTCTAAAAATGTCTCAATGTAGGAATTCTGCTCACTTATCACTTAAACTTACAGCAGCAAAAAATCCCAACTGATGATCTGTAACAGGTAAGAATTCTCTGAACGGTACTTTTTTCAAGCAAAAAAAAAAAGCACCTGCAAAACTCACTTATCTTACATCAGTTTGATTCCATATTTCTTGGATGGTTATGTGAAGAGGGTATCAGAAATAATCCCTCGATAATAATCCTGAAAGTTGTAAGTCATGACCTGAGGTCCTGCTGTACCATATCAAGAACACACAAGTGCTAGGAAAAGCATTATCTTCAGAAAGTATTACCAGCTTACCATGCCGGGATGGATTCCTGTTTGTGACCTCTAATTTGTCATGGAAGCCAGGACTCCTGCCAAGCCCTTCCGTGTCTACATCAAGGCTAGTGAAGCCATTTACTTGATTTCTGTCCCTGGTGACAGTGTTAATGCGGGTCGGGATAGGTTCAAATGTAGGGTCTAACTCCAAGATCAGCCTGTTCAGTTGTTCAATGGACTGATCAATATCCAAAGTTGGAGAAGCTGGCAAGTCCCCTACGTTCCGTCCTAGATCCAGGCCATTTGTGTCCCTCTGAGGCACTGGCCTTGACTTAAAAGTCTCGGCACTGGCATGTTCTGCAGCTTCAGCAGCACCTGCCACGCCTTCTAGCCCCCTCTGCACAGCATCTCTGCTGCTGGAGCCACGTGTTGGGGTGTCTGGGACTCGGGACTGGCTCTGGACACTGCACGAATTCTCCACAGTGGTATGAATGCCAACCCTAATTTCATTCTCTGGGGCAAAACCATATTGGTGAGCAGTGACCATCTGCTGTTGGCGTACCCAGGTCTGAGTAGAGTAGTTACTTGGGCCATAGGCTTGAGGCTGGGGTGAGACAGAAGGATTCTGTTGCAACTTCTGAGTTGACTTTGGCTCAGTGCTTCCAAATGATCTCTCGTAGAGGGGATCCACACCAATTCCCAGGTCTGCAGCAAAAGCACTGTGATGCTCTTCCCCAGCGTTACTTCCAAAGCCATCTGAAAGAAGTGAGTTCTGACTGCTCTTGTGGCAACTAAAGTTCCCTAGGTGGGTGGAGTGCTGCCCTTCTGAGGAAGACAAAGTGCCAATGCTGTCCACACTGTGAAGGTCATGATTAGGCATTTCATCATCCAGAATATCAGTCTCCCTGTCCTTCAGTTTGGCGTCTCCATTTACGTGAACTTGAGCTGGCACTATGTGGCGAGTCCCACTGTACTTGCTTCGGGCATCGGTCATATCCTTGGTGGTGTTGACAGAATCCTCCAGACCAAAGCCACTAAGTAGCTGGTCCAGTTCTGCCTTCTCTTGTGGGCTCAGACCCCGTTTGACTCCTGGTACAAGGCGCTCCTCAGTCTTGTCTGTCCTGATGGAAGCTGTTGAGTGTCCTGAATCACTACTGACAGACAGGGTATGATCACTGTGATCAGGACTGCCAGTCACGGGAACACCCTGAGCAACACCAGGGATGCTGCTGTCTGAAGAGCTCTTCTTTCTCACTTTCGCATAGAGACTGCCATCAATGGGACCTTGGGTATGCAGCACTGTGGAGAGATAAGTAACAAGGAAAGGGAGAGAAAAGGACAAGGCATTATATAAGGGCTTTGACTGGTGTCGCACCACGCGACAGAAGTACTGCTAATACTAATGGTATTGTTTCTCCAAAACTAAATTGGCTCTACAAATACAGCATCAACCAATGGCATTATCTTCTCTCATTTTACATTTCAATTTATAGCAGTTTTCTTGATGGAAATATAACATGCCATTCATAGCTCAAGATCAAATACAGTTCTCTCTTTTTATGCTATTTTGAAGACATGTTTATGGCTCCACAAACTCTTCATACTAATTTGAAGAATTACACTATCACAGTGCCAGAAATTTGAGAGGCAGCTACCATGCATTCCATTCAGAGCAAGAATGGTAGGAACCTACCAGCAATACCTGCCTTTAACATATATCATGCAATTACCAGTTCATCCATTTCTACTTGATGGTCTAACTACATTACGAAGAATCATTTACTCCTTTTCTTGGTGGTGCAAGGAAAAAACAGGCTTTCAATCAGAGCTGCGGTCCTTGGAATATATGTAAGGCCTCTTCACAAAGGCATGCATGAGGAAATGTTAGACTACGAAATTTCTACACGTGGAGGATCTGGTATGCATTTCACATTTCAATTTTAATAAGCAAGGCCATAATCCCTTAAAAATCAGAATATAACTCCTTCCTCATCAATGATGGGAAGAACTAACTTTATTTCTAATCTCTGTGGTACTCACTCAACTGAAGTTTATGAAGAACCACTCATAATAAATATGGGCTAGAACTTCCCTTTCTGTTTAGAACATCTTTAGAAAATACAACAATTTTGCAGGAAAATGCATCTAACTAAGTCTACTAAGGCTGGGTGTTGAGAACAGACAAATTCTTGCTTCCAGTTACATGAGCAGAACTTAGCACACTTCACTGACATCAGTTATGCACAGAAGAATTGGTTGAGCCAAGTTTTACTTTCTTACAGGGTTAATGAACTCAGGTGGAGGGCTTCACTGAAGTGACTATATTGCTTTTGATCCCAGAACTGTTACTGGCATCCATGAACCCTGCTGCTTCTTGCTATCTCGAGGCACACATCCCGTATTTTTTAATCTGATATATTGATTTTTCTTTCATTCTGCAGCAGCCAGCCCATCTTAATTATTTCTTTTCAATAATCAACAAATAATAAATGCGAAACATAAAATAGTCAAGCGAATCACAAGTTAGAGACTAAAATCTCAGCCTTAGAATTATCTCCTCTACATGTTTTATCACGTGTAATATTTTAGATATTATGCTTTACGGCTAACAGGAATCACATAAAATATATACTGAACAATAACAAATACGAAATACATACAAAATGGGTAATTAAAGTTGTTGAAAAAAATCCCTTTTTGGTTCCCAGAAAAAAAACCACAACCTTGAACAGATTTTTACATACAATCAGGAAATAAAAAATCCATTTGAGTTAAAAATACTACTGTGAGAATAATCTTTTCCATGTTATTTCAGTACTACCAATGCTGGCAATGGATAAAACCACAAAACATTGAATAGAGCGATTTCCCTCTGGAACATTTTAAAAGCTCAAGAGTTTATTTGAATCCAGCTTATTTTATCCAAACCACTTTCTCCTACCTCTGCCTGTCAGGGCTTTTTAAAGCTCTCCTTGACATTATAGATCAAAGAGAAGAAACAAAGCCGTGGGAGGCACATTCTTACGATCCTTTATTGGACTTGTTTGTCCAACTCCCACACACATCACACAGGTTAGACTAACCTGAGGGTAGAGTATGGCTACTGGGCTCTTACCAGTGCTGAAATGAACACAATTAATTCTGTTTCTTATGAAAAGCTTTAGGAGTAAATATTTCTACTGTCCACCAAGCCAGGAAAGTAAAGTGAGTGGTTCTACTTTCAAAGGATTTAATGTTCATTTACCAAAACATATTATATTATATTATATTAAGCAGAAGTTTCTGAAGAACTTTTCCTACCCATAGTTTGAGAATTGTTTGATAATAAGAAAATTAGACCATTACAATTTAGGAACACGCAGATTTTTGTCAAAGGTAACCAACAGCTTAGTCTACATCTGTGGCAGTTCCAGAATCAAAAGAGCCATGGAGAGCGTTTCAACATCAACTCTACCACACATTTTCAAAATATACTTAAAATGGCATTGTGTTCATGAAGCTTCCGAACTAGGAAGCTTTTCTAGGCAATACCATTTTAGAAAAAACATTATTCAGATGGCAATGAATTCATCAGTTTATAATGGCAAGAAAAGTGGTCTGGTTGGAAAAAGCCTTCATTATGGGACATACTGCCAAGTTTCCATCAGTTAAAATGCTTACACACTGGAGGTTATACGATAGGTTTAATAGATTTTAGCTAATAATTAAAGGACAACTTTTTACTTTTTAAGGTACTATTACTTGGCTGATGTTGATTTGAAAAACAGCACATGCAAAAGACGAAAATACTCCTTTTCAGAACAAGTCATCAGGCTAGGGAAAAAAGAAAGCAATTCCCCTTGCTGTAGAATTTCTCTATGGGCAAACTGTTAGAAGTTTGCTGAAGTTTATGATGTGTAAATCCCATGGTGAAAAGAGCTACGATGCATGAGGTTGGATGTCTGTGTACAGATATTTAAAAACAACATTTATGAAAAAAATACCATATCTAAGGAAAATACAGCCAATTGACAGTTTCTCAACCTCTTTCATACTGTGATTTCTCATAAGCTCTCACTACTGCCAGGACAACAAAGCACACTTGGCACTTCATGTGGAATTATTTAACACAGTTTCCACACTAAATTGCAAAAATTAAAAAAAAAAAAAAAAAGAAAAAAACCCACTAAGAGTACCTATTAGGTGATTTTTTTTTTCTTTTCTGTGTGCTTAGTTTTGAGTTCAAAAACTGGAACAGAAAACAATACAAAACTGCTTTGTTTTGAATAGTTGAATATCCTGACACAAAATAGACTTAGGAGGTTACAGGTCTGAGCTGCAACGCAGCTAAGTAAATATAGGACTAGTACACTTGAACCATTAAGAAATCTTCCTGTCTGACTTTTCTGTTACCCAAAACTAGGCACAGTGCTGTAAATCCTTCAAACATGCTACTCAGCCATAAATACCTCACACTAGGTGAAACATTCTAGCACACAGATTTGGTTCACCATACAGAAATGTTAAGTACAAAATCTGTCAAATTCTCAAGTACAGCCATGGAAGCAATGGAAAACCTTCGTGCTTCTCCCTCCGTTAGCCCTCCCTGTACCATCACACAGTGCCATCCAAGCACAGCAACAGGAGTAGAGACAAGAAGACAGACAGACTGCCAGCGGACTACTGGCCTGAGGCTCTTGCACATGTGTGCTCTGTAAGGTTCAGAGATAACCCGGCCCAGTACTTCTTCCACTAATAACAAAATTATCAAATTTATTCTGCACATTGCCCGGAACGCTGAGCAATCACAAACCGTTTGCGGGTCTCCTAACTGTGAACCATACAGCTTCCGTTCTGAAGAAGAGACATGAGTTCAGCTTACCAGTAGCATCTCTACTTAAAATTATGCCATTTCATTTGGGAAAAAAACACCAGAAAATTAAATACAAACAACAAACCTAGAGTCACATAAGTGGATTATAAATGTCAAGAATTGTTCATCTCCTCTCTTTATGTTTCCATTTGAAACAAAGAAAGCTTTTTTAGAAAGTTGGGGGGGAGGGGTGTTTGTTTGTTTGTTTTTTAAAACATCTGTACAGTATCTCTACACACAAATTGGGAAATGTGCAAAAATAATTCCTCATTGTATTTTTAATGGTGTTAAGAATTAGCACCATTGGATATATATATGAAAACAGCTTTCAGCAGAGGATGGTGTTTTGGTTGCTTATGATCTTTGTTTGCTGTTTAACTATTAAGTATGCAAACTAGAGCACTCAGGTGCTTCTTTCCATTAGACTTTGGATTGAATACAATAGCTTTACAATATTCAGGAGTTTGTTGGGGTTTTGTTTTGTTTTTTCAAATTCTGAACAATTTACATTTCTTAGAGACTGTTCCTTTTCATACTGCATTTACTTGCCAGTACAAAGCTTGGACTTAAACTACTTCAGGATTCTGAGATGTCTTTTAAGTAAATTTAAAAGCATCTTTTTCTGATAAATGTAGAAGTTAAATGGCTGTCTTTGAACTCTCAAATGATCCCATTGCTGGCTAAGGCATTTAATTAACTACTACTCAAATTCCAGTTTTAATCTGAGCTATAGTTCGTAGTGAACACTAAGAAGAGATTGTAAAAAGTTTCATGTTTCTCTGAATAGTTAGCGTTAACTGGTAAGCGTCAAGGAAGGGTTTAGGAATGTTTTAGACAAGTAAATCAGATGAAAGGAAGAAAAATTTTGCTAGAGGAATTTCTCCCTCCCCTACCTGTCATGTAGATGAATGAAAATGTCTTTTTTGCAAACAGAGCTTTTCAAAAATACCTAGAAGTATAGATCTCTACTACACTGAAGAATGGCATCTGTACTCATTAGAAGCCTGATTGATAGATAATACTGGGAACAAGAAGAGTCTTTCTGGGACTTCTCACAGGGTTTGGCTCAGGATGGCCCAACATAAAATTAGAACAGAGGCATCAAACTTAAGAGACTGAAAGCTTCATGACCAGGAGAGGAAAGCTTACACACGAGTCTGTACGTGTTCATGAGTCTGTATATGGAAAGATCTCATTTTTATGGGGAAACTCAGTTAATCTGATCTGAAGCTTCACCAGTAGTAACCATGTTTTTCCTACAGCATGGTCCCTGTAAAAAATAAAATCTCTAAAATTTTAGATTCTCCTAAGATGACTAGAACCACTTTGTATAAGCAACCGATGACCGTGAGCTGTGTGGGCTTCCCAATTACTACCTGTGCTAATGAATCACACAGCCCTGTCAGAACTGAACACCATGGCAGAAGGAATGACGTCTGCACGCTAG